TCTCGTTTGATACACTTTAGGTAGAACTTGAAAGAGTTAATCCGACAAGATAGCTTACATGTAAGCAACAACATTTTATATTCTGTAAGTCTGCACTTAATCGGTAAAAGTTTAAACTTTACGAATGGAAAGGAGTTTTTTTATTTATTTAGAATTTTAGACGCTATATTTGATAAACGGGTGCTATACAGAAGCCTATTCAAAGCATCGATATTTGCATACCACAAGAGGTGAGCAAGCAAAGAATAGATGTGAGGGATAAAATTACTCATTGTTTACCTGTTAAATCGTTTTTCTTCCAACTCAACAGTTGATATCGACATAGTTTCCATAATTGCTTCGGTGCTGGAATTCATCGGGTTGACAAATAAAGGTTTTTGATAAAACTAGCCTTACGTAAGCAGTTGGAGAGAAAAAATTGAGCTCACAGTTGAGTACCGTTGGTTTGTTGGCGGTAGTTGTCGTTTGGGAGTTTGGGAACGATGAGGGACAGGTAGGGGAGGGGAAGGGGATTCATGTTGTTTAGCGCAACTCAGTGTATCGAACCGTCGTTGTTGTCCACTTGGGTTTAAGCACAACAATCTTTATTTACACTAGCGCTCTCAGCACAGATCCTACTTTAACAAATTCTCATTATTTCGGTTTTTTACTTGCTATGAAAAGCTTTTTTTTGGCTTCTCAAGATTTTTTTTTCATAAAGTCTTATCGTTTTTTCTTTTCAATGTGGGAAAATTGATGCTGTTAACTTTTAATTCCTGGAAAATAAAAATAAAGGAATTTTCTCTCTGTGTTTACTTTTTCAGTAATCTCGACTGTGGTAACACTGTTTAGTTAGCTGTTTCAAATGTACTCTTCCTTAGAGAACAAAAAAAAAAAAAGAAAACTAAGGTTTTTTTGGCAACTATTTGTGTGCTGGTTTGTTACAGTTCTTGAAAATTGATGAATAGCACAGAATTTACTAATATTTTCAAACGGTTTTTTAGTGCAGCAAGTTCGTTAGTGAACGAACAAAATTTAACTGTAAAAAAAAAAAATATTTGAATAGTAGCTTTTTTGCTTTCTTTTTTTTCTACTTACAATTTTTTTTTTTTTTTTTTTT